TGGGACAAGGTAGCAGAGGTGGGTTTCAGCAGGTTCTGATCAGTTCTGGAGTACTGGTAGCGGAAATTTTGAGTAGTTCGGAGAACCGGTAAATACCACCTCTGACTGGCCCTGCCCCCATCTATTCTCTGCCTACCGAGTCCCAGCTGATCGGGAGGAAATGGGGATTTCACAGTAACCTTTCCCTGGAGTGGGAAGGGAATGGAGATTTTACAGTATGCTTTTCCTGCCATGCCCACCAAGCCACGCCCACCAAGCCATGCCACGCCCACTAAGACATGCCCACAGAACCTGTGGTAAAAAAATTTGAATCCCACCACTGCAAGGTAAGGTAATATGTGCAAGATTAATCATGATAAGCCATACTTTAGTTTCATCATACCATTGGAAGCTTACGCTGATCAAAAATATAAATGCTAAATTGGTACTTGAAAGTACTTTTTGAAAGAAAGAGAGTGCAATTTTCTTATTATGCAACTGTAACAGTCCTTTCAGTGTGAGTACCCATTTAGGAATCTGAACTCTAGTTGCTACATAGCACTGATATTGGAGGACAAATCTCTCTTCAAAAGTATTCGATTCTTGAAAGACTGCTTAGTTCAAGATCAGGTTTAAAACAAAGATACATCATGCCTTCATAGGACTCCCATTTTAATGAAGCTTCGTGTTCTAAGAACACTTTCTGGTGAATTGTAGCCTTGATTAATGATTAATGATTTGCGCAAACAACTGCCACCTTTGATTCCTTGTTAGTATTAATGAATCTTGGTCCATAGTGCAAACTCATTTCACCCACGTCTTCACATGCATTGAGTTTCTTATGGACTGTCAACTCTAACAAAACCTGTTAATTAGTGATAATCAAAAATCATGACTGGTATTTTTTCCTAAACTTAATGTTACTTTGAAATGTAGGAAATAAATGTAAAATTTCTAACATACACTGACTTCACCATAGTGTTTAGTTGTTCCTTTTCTACACAGATTTATTTTTTCCTAACCCTAACCTGTTTTATGTAGACAAGGGTAGATTACAGTACTCTGGCTTTGGAAGTGTTCTTTAGCATTGGTTCTTTTATTTCACAATAATGCTGCTATTGTTCATGAAATGGTAACCTGCAGTGAGAGTACTTGTCAAAAAGTCAAGTCACGAATAAAATTTACTGCCAAATGCAGATTGCAAACAAATGGAAAGAAGGTGTGGAAGCAACTGATTTGTGTGATCGAGAATGAGGGAATAAACTGGAACAACAGCCAACAAGTTTCACTGAGAACAGTTGATGAGCTATTTAAGTGATCAACTGATCAAGCTGCTGTCAAACTTGGCACTTCACAGGGACATGTGGGTCATATTATTGACATTCATTAATATTAGATTTGAGTTTTGAAGACTACTGATTCACTACTTTGCAACAGTAAAAAAAAAATTGAAACCACATTTAAACCAATTTTGGAAGCATAAGAAGGGCATGGCAATGCTAGGCCTCACACCTCATGAACTACCCAAGAGACAATTGCATAGCTGGATCTCCCCATCCTACCCCATCTGCCATTCAGCCCAGATATGGTGCCATGGGACTTCCACCTTTTCTCAAGTTTGAAGAATACTTTTGTCAGCATCTATCTGACACAAATGAAGAAGTATAAGAGATGAGCAGGGTCTTGCTGAAGAGATAAAGTGTGGAGTTCTTTCACAATGGTTTAAGAAGAAATGTGTAGCAAACGGTAGTGATTCTGTTAAGTAACGAAGGCCATTTCAAGAATTAGTTTCTTGTTGGTTAAAATATCACCATTTAAACTAAAGTTATAGATGGAGGTAGAGGCATTATTTTTCATTCAGTTCTTATACTGTATTTCAGTAAGCTAAGCAATAGATATAGGCGTATTGTTTACCATGTGATTTCACAACTCAAAAATAATTAATTTTTTTTCATGTGAGCATGCATAGAGCTGGATGAAGGGCTGTTAAAAATCTGTTAACCTAAGAAGCCTTCATTATATACAAAAAAAAGGTCATATAGCAGATAATACCAGATGATCAAAGTCCCAGCCCTTTTTAAAATATGTCCTGCATATCACATGCACACAAAACAGGGGGCCATTGACTACACGGTTGCATCAGAGGTGGGTTTCATTAGGTTCTCACCAGTTCTGGAGAATCGGTAGCAGAAATATTGGGTAGTTCGGAGAACTGGTAAATGCCACCTGTGACTGGCCCCGCCCCCATCTATTCTCTGCCTACTGAGTCCCAGCTGATTGGGAGGAAATGGGGATTTTTCAGTATCCTTCTCCTGGAGTGAGATGGGAATGGATATTTTACAGTATCCTTCCCTTGCCATGCACAACAAGCCACGCCCAACAAGCCATGCCATGTCCAAAAAGCCACGCCCACAGAACCGGTAGTAAAAAAATTTGAAACCCACCCCTAGTTCAATATACCATCTCAGCTCCCCAAAGTTTAATTAAAATGTAAAGAAAAATATGTCAGAGTATATTCATGAACTGGAATAGGACATGGCAACTGGGTCAACCAATGGGGACTGCTTGGAAACGGAAACATATTATTTGTTTGTATGGGGCCATAAGAGATAGTTTGGAGTCTGGGCATGGCTTAGACTTGCTGAACTGTATTTAAGAGTTGGTCTGGCCTCTAATGTGTGCCTCTGTACAATATATTAGCCCAGTGGTGAAATGTAAAATTTGTTACTACCGGTTCTGTGGGCGTGGCTTGGTGGGGGGGGAGGCTAATGTGACTGAGTGGGCGTGGCCAACTTTTTTTCTTTCTTTCTAACTTTTAAAACCATTTTTTCTACAACCTCTTCGGCCAAAAATGCTTTTAAAAGTGTCTGACGATCCCAGCTGTGCTGTGCAATCATCAGAGGCTTTTTATTTTACTTTTAAAAGCATTATTTTGGCCAAAGAGGTTGTAGAAAAAAAATGCTTTTAAAAATATAAAAAAAAACCTCTGATGATGTGCGGCTCAGCTGGGCGGGGGTGGGGGCAGGGATTTTTGCTACCAGTTCTCCGAACCATCCGCTGCCATCGCTACCAGATCAGGTGATCTAGTCCGAACCGGGAGCATTTCACCCCTGTATTAGTGTCTGTATCTTTCTACTCTGTAATGACTTGCTTCTGTGAATATTGCTTCTGTGTTCCTGATATTGCATGCTGAATTCTCCTGTATGGTATTGTGTATAAAGAAGTTTCTTATATAATTTGAATCCTGCTGAAGTTCATTTAATTGTGTCTGATTGTGTGTGCTGCAACAAACTCTGATAAAATATTATATGGAAAATTTTTCCATTTTTTTTAAGGCCAGGCAGCCTGGAAAACCAATGAGATTCTAAATGAAAAAATTTCCACCCCTCAAATTTTAAAGGATCATGAAAACGATACAAGAGAAATGCTTTCAACATGGAACTATTATTTAATACATAACAATTTTTCCAGGTTGTTTCAAGTATTTTCTGTATATTATTTTAGCTATCCACATAACACTACAATACTGGCTGGTATTCTGCATCATAAGATATGGAAGTAAGAAATAAAGTATTAGGACCAAGAAATTCTACCTTGCCTAATGTTGCTGAATTAAGCTATAATCTGATGATACTGAAAGATAAGCCATGACATGCTCTGTTGAATGGATTAAGTCCTTTTTTTAAAATTAATACCTAAAGTAAGATCTAAGCAATAAAGTATTGTTCATAGTTTATAAAAATGAATGCCAAAGTAGCTACAGTTAAATAAATTGTGACTATAATTATGATAATCAAGTGTTTAGTGATTTAACTCAATACTAAAAATTCTATTATTTTGTTTTATTAATTTGTTTGCTGTCCATGTTGCCCCAAGGCAACTCTGGGCAGCTTACAACATTAAAAACAAACCATAAAAAAAACAAATATTTGTAACAAAAATAAAATGTAGATGGGGGGAGGGAGCAGAATAGGTGAGGGAAGGAGGGAGATCTTCTATTGGTCCATCAACCATCTCCAGTATGATACTCCTTCATTGGGCCCCCAAGCCAGCTGGCAGAACCAGGTCTTCAGGCCCTTACAGAAGGTCAGAGGGATGGGGGAGAGATGTTCCAAAGGACAACAGCCCTGGCAGAAAAGGTTGTCTTCCTGGACCTTGCCAGCCAGAATTCCTTGACTGATGTGGTCTGTAGCATGTTTCTTCTGCTGGCATGACTGGGGTGGGGCAGTTCCATTGGGGTGAGATGATTCCTCAGGTAATCTGGACCCATGCCATGCAAGGCTTTAAAGGTGATAACCAATTCTTTGAATTGCACCTGGAAACAAACCAGGAGCCAGTGCAACTTGCAGAACAACAGTGAACATGGGCCATTCTACGGCACCCAAGGACTGCTCGCACCTCCGCACTCTGCACCAATTGTAGCTTCTGAATGCTCTTCAAGGGTAATCCTACGCAGGGCACATTACAGTAGTCCAGGTGTCACATGATCGTGGCTTGAATGACTGAGCGCAGGGACTCCTGATCCAGAAGGATCATAACTGGTGCACAACACGAAGTTATCATTTTCAAATTTGCTTATTACAAGTTATTTAAAATTAATAGTTTGGAATGGGGGCAAGGGATAGGGCTTTGATGTTGGTTACCAGGAGAACACATAATGCATATGAAATGGGTCAGGATTTCTGCTTTATTAGTGGTGGTGGATTGGATTTTCTAGTTTAAGACATTTGTGTTGAGAGATCACTTCAATTGTTTGAAGAATTTGCATTCACTTTTCCATATAGGGCAGGGCTGTCAAACTCCTGGCCCGCAGACCGGATGCATTACGCACTGGCCATACCCAGTTTAGCGAAGGGGGAAAATCCTGATACGTCACATGACACCACTGTGATGTGAGTTTGACACCCCTGATTTAGGATCTCAAACATCCAGACTTATATTATTTAGGGCCATGCCATGAAATGTACTATCAGGTACAAAGCTTTGGAAACCTGTTCAAAAATTACATAAATTCACAAATTGTGTTATAAATTAAGTCTTTATTATTTATTTTTCTTACACTTTCAAGTTTTGATATTTCAGCTTATAATCAAGTGGAATGATGGAAAAGATAACTCAAAGCCAAGAGTTGGTTCCATACATGTGAATTGTGAAGTAAATATGAATCATACTAGTGATGCATTGAGCAATTTATGCTGTAATACTAACAGTGACATTAAAAAGTACAATTTTTGCTTTTATTCTGGCTTCAGATTTCTAAATCATCATCAGTTTTGCTAATTTCATGCCATTTTCATATGAGGGCTGTGTATTACATTGAAACTGTTAGGATTTGCCTCATAACATTACTTGATTTTGTCACCTGGTTAATTTTCATTCTCAGTTGTCTGCATGAAACTGGAGCAAAATTTGAGTTTGTTGCACAGTAAGGTTGCTGTTTTCCATTGGTGGGAACTCTTGACTCACTTCAATTCATCCTTGTGTTCCTTTGGAACAATCTGCCCCGAAAAGACCAATGTCTACCCTTGTGGCCTTCTAAAAAAATGTTTCTCAACCTTGGCAACTTTGATGTATAGATTTCAAATCCCAAAATTCCCAGCCGACATAGGTAGGGAATTCTGGGAGTTGATGTCTATATATCTTAAAGTTAGGTTGAGAAACACTGTTTTATAGAACGCTGTAGTTAAAATCTTGTTTTTCTCGAAAGCTTTAGGTGATTAAGCAGGTAAAGGAAGTTCCATATCTTTATTGCCTCCTGTGTTTACAGCTTGTTTTTTTATTACTGTTTGATTTTGGACACTGCCTAAACCCTGGCATGACGTCATTTATAAATCTTGTAAATACATTTTTTCCTGGTGTATGTCTGAAGACTGTAAGGAATGTAGCTTTTTCTTTCCTTGCAACACTATACAACTATTCAATTATAGCTACTGGGAAGAGTGTGTAGTTGCTAAAATGTTGACATGCAATCTTTTCACATAATCATTATCACACATATATATAGGGGGTCAGGATTTCTACTTTTCTCCTGTTTATCTGGAGAACTTTTACGTTTTGAGGGTTTTTTATATAAAGTGTTAGACTTGTTTTTGAATATTTACTGCTTCAAAATTATAGGAAATCATGCTGACAAGTTTCTAGTTACCATTGATGGTTCCCAGGATAGCAATAAATGGCTCTGCCATTCGATACACTGCTCTAATTTAAATAATGATCATACTGTACCTTTCTGGAGAAGAACCATCTTGGTTGCACTGTTCATCCCCTGCCTTCTTTTTGATTAGTACATAAGTACATTTTTAAAAAAATATTGTATGAGCTAAATCTAATTATATAGGATGCCTTTCCAATTTGACAAGAGTACACACTGGGGATTTACATCTTTGAAAATCATCCTGTTATTTTAGCAATTGAATCACATTTATTTCTTACTCTGTATCTGGAAGGACAAATCCAATTTCTAAAAGAAAATACCGGAGTGAGTATTTGGAAAACTTGGTTAGACATCTGAAATCGTAACTGAAATTTAACTCGCCCCCTTTCTTTACATGTGTTCTATAATCACACATAGCAGGACAATAATGGCAAGCAACTTAAAGGCAAAGTTGCAGTGAAATATAATTATACAAGCACACTTTAATATATATAATAGTTGATTATAACTTTTGCAGGGCATGCACTAGAGGCAAGTAGAAGAGACATGCCAGATTCTTGGGCATTAAAAATTTACTACCAGACTATAGCTAATAGTTACATGGCCTGCTATTATTTATTTATTATTGTGATTTATATGCCGCCTTTCTCCCTGGGGACTCAAGGCGGCTTACAAAATGACAAATTCCAATACAAATCACAATGAAATAAAATTAAAATCAGCAACCCTATTAAAAGTTTAAAATTATGACAGTGTATTGTACTGTATTAATCAACAAACTGCTTAACTGTGACAAGGTTAATTTGATTCTGCCATAGCATGTGGTAAGAACCCAAGTAATTCAATAAGGCTGGTGTGGACACCAATATTCAGCACCACAGCCAGTTTGGAGAAAAGCTCCAGAAAATAGGGAGGCACAGATCCTGCCCAAGCAAAGGAATACCAAGGCCTGAAAGCATGCCTTTGCCAGCACATGCCCACTGAATCATGATCTTTGTCCCAATTTCAACTTCTTGAAAATATAGGAAGCCTGCCCCCCATGGTTCAGTCAACTGTAGCTTAGCATTATACAGGAACTCAGGACTTCTTCGAGGCAAGGTGGGGCTCATAAACAGGCCCGCAGGAAACCAGGAATTTCTGATTAGTAATTTATGGCAGAAAGCTAAAAAGCCACTACAAAAGAATGAGAGCAATTCCCGTTTCAAGCGAGAGTCTTGTTTCGAAGCGTCTACTGCTGTTCCTCCCGGTTTGAACAAGACCTTTGGGACAGAGGGGGGGGGGAGGGTCCGTTTTCAGCCGATTCCGTTTCGGTTAACAGCCAGATCTGCCAACAGATCGTTTTATTCTGTCCGCTGTTACAATCCAGAAGGTCAAACTTAGGGCTCTTTCTCCTGGCTTTTTTTTTTTTAACTCTTAGTTTAAGAAGTAGCAAGTCTGAGCTGCCGCTCGTGTATCTAGGAGCCGAGAGAGAGAAGAGAAGACAAGCGCTGGCCAATTTAATGCCGAAGAAAATCAAGGCTGAGGCCTTGGCTAACTGGCTCCGCAGCCGGAAGCGTTTTTCCCGCCCGTCCGCCCGCGGACTTCGCTTCGGGCCAAGCTCATCCCAGGTTTCCTAAGTTACCAGGTCACGAGAGAACCAAAGGCTGTTGACAAAACCTACGCAATACATTTACTGGAACTGCCGCTTCTCCAGGCAGCCGCGCCCAACTTGCCCTTCGGGCGGTCAGGCAGCTTTGCTTTGCCCTGCCTTCCTCTCCTCTCCCTCCTCCCCCTGGCACCTCCACTTTTGCAGACCGCTATAAGAGCTGCCGCGCCCGCCTCCGCCTCCTCGACGTTTCACTCGGTCTGCTGAGGCCAAGGCGTCGGCTCTGGGCTCAGTTGCTGGCGCCAGTTTCTGTCTCCTGCTCTCCTGGCAGCTCCTGCGCGACCCCGGCCATGATTGTGGATAACAGCCGGGACGTGGGGTTAGATGGCGATTCCGGCTCTCTGAACAGCCCGTTCAATTTGGCCTTTTTCTATGGAACCTCCCCTCGCTCCAGCGAGGGCAGCTGCTCACCCACTCCCTCCGCTCCGGGATCCCCCGACTCTGACTCGGAGCCCTCGGCCAATGGCGGTAGCGGCGGCGGCGGCGGCATCTACTTGAGGAAGAGGCGCTATTCCCGGAACGCCGCGCGCCCGACTGGAGAAGGTAGAGACACACCTGGCGGCCGATCCGGCGTAGCCCCCTGAAATAAGTTTTGGGCGGAGGGCGTTTACTCCGGCTTTCCCAAAAGCGACGCCCGCTGCTTCGGCTGGGTTAGGCTGGTCCTCCTAAGGCGTTCGGTCTGGTTGATGGATGGCTGTCCCAGCAATCTCAGTGTAGCCGTTCAGTTACGTTGGACTACAGTTCCTAATCGCCTTGGGAGTCATGGGAGTTGTAGTGCAATGGCATTCTAACCGGTTAGGGGAAGGCCGTTCGTATAATAATCTGCCTCCTTTGTCGTGGTGAGTGTGTGTGCACGTTTGCATCGATGTGTCTATGGAGATTCTCAGGCACCCTCGGTTGTCCCAGAGGTGCTTTTTCAAGAGGCAACTGGACTTTGTTTTCAGCTGAGCTGAAGAAGCTTCTTGGATGAGAAGCGAAACGTCTTCAAAGGAAAAAAAAAACAAAGTCCAGTTGCCTCTTGAAAAAGCACCTTTGGGATTTGCATCGGGATATCTCTCTGTGTGTGTGTGTGTGTGTGTATGTATATGTATACTGCCAGAAAAAAAAGCCTAGAAACTAGTAGATTGTGATTTCACTGAACTAGGGCTGCATAAAAATCTTGGTTAACCTAGGAAGAACCTGGCTTAAAGAGAAATACACATAAAGCCTACCAAAAGGAAAGAAAACAAATACACACACACACACACACATGCATATACATACATATACATACAAACACACACACACACACACTTCATCAAACACTTGTTCTAGTTATCTGAATGAGCTCTAAGAATGAAGAATTTGTGGTTAATCGGTATGTCAGAGCAGGTTCCTACTTCCTGTGGAAAATATGTCTGATATCTTTGATTATCACATACAAGCTTCTTTTATAAGCTAGTTAAAGAGTCGCCTTGGACAAACTATTTAGTGGGATGTTCAGAATGAAGGCTGTCTTGTTTTTTTGATATTGCCCATGACCATCTATGCAGCTGCCCATCTAAAAAGTGCCTGTTTCCCCTGTCCATGGTGCATCCACCTATATTTCAGTGGAGTAAGCCTGCTTTGCCTAAGGTTTTGGATATAAGTCAAATTATATATAGGTCAGGTCACTAGTTATGAACACGTTAGAAAACAGTTGGAATGAATAATAATTGAATAATGTACCAAATAGTTAATTTTTAAGCATCAAAATACTTTAATGGATAACGCGATATATACTAAATGCTCTGGATTCCCTGTGTTGGTAAGTGCATTCAAAGATTAGCTTTAGCCTCTAACATTACTTGGCTTCTTTCACAGAACATTTGTGAAAGGTGTTTTTAAAGTTATGGAATTCGTTTTGTCTCCTTTCCCAGCTGTATGCTATTCGTGGCTGCTGTCAGAATTAACAGAAAGGTGTCTGTTGCAAAAATAATTTTTTTAAAAAAAATGTTGATATTGAGCTAAATTTGTGGATTTAAATTTACCAGCAATTTCAAATATTCATTATCTGGTATTGGATAGTATCTTCATATTATATTGAAAATGGAAATCATTTATTGGGTAATATGCCCTGCAGTGAATTAATTTTCTGTAAATTGTTTATTGATTTATATTTGCTAAATGTAGAGTTTGAAATATACTTATATCAGTTTTAGCATATCTTGATAATTAATTTTTTACTTATGAAGGCATAAGGAGCAAGAAAATAAGATGATATGCTATTTTTTTAAAAAAAAAAGTTTATTGGCATTTTACCATAAAAAGGGATTATAAATTTCGTACAATTAACAATACAGTTAGAAAAAAAATGATAAGAAATTATATTCTTATTTTGGGATACAATATCACTGTGAAAGGGTGAAAGCTTTGCTTTCAGCAGAAACATTTCACTTTTATCTATTTGTTCTATAGAGCTCAATATGGCTAGAACTGCTTGCCAAATATATAGAGAGACATAGACAGCTTTTTAAACAATGCTAGCATTTCCTATTTCAAGACTAAAACTTCAAATTAGGAGACTCTGTTGCTGATGTTATTTCTAATATGGTATGCAACTGAGAACATTTATGGTTAATTTGTACAATGACAAATGAAATCTGATTCTACATGGTTTTTAAGCAAAGCTTTCCTTCTTTTAAAATGGGAAATAGTGAAATTTTGTAGACTTTCAATGCAGTCACAATTTTTTAACCTTTTGTACAAGAGTTATATTAAAGCTAGTCTACCTGGTATATCTTTACAAAGATATATATATTTGAAGTCCTCTACCAATTAATTTTTATAAATTTTGCTGCTGCCATTGTCATTTGATATTGTATTTCATATTACCTTAGATTTTTATGAAGTTTCCTTTGTGTAATCTTATTGACTGAAGTATTTCATCTGCTTTGATTCTTGATTTTTTCCCTTTCTGTTCTCAAACTGAATCCTTAAAGACATGTACTTTTGGTGGGATGTGGGAAATTCTCTTAAAACTTCTAAAGGGGAAATTATTCTTAAATTGGGGTTACTTTTCTTATCCAGAAATTTCAAATCTGTGGGAATTTAGTTTTTTAAAAAAAAAATTTAAATAATAGGTAGACTATGTAGAAAATCTGATTTGTACTTTTTAAAATTAGATCATTGCTTCTCTCTTGGGTTAATGTGGATCATTGTTCCTCATTTCACTTCTGTTTTTTATGCTTCAAAATACATTGTGTTTAAAGGGTTGATGTCATTAAGAGGGTGAATAAAATATTTGCAGCTAATCTTATGGAAGAACATATTTTTGACAAGCGGTTTAACTATGGAGGGGACTTATGCAAGTAATATTGAACATCTATTTTATACAAAGTCATTTTAATGCTTAATGGTTTTGAGTAGGAATTTCTCCATTCTTATTAAAATATTAGGTAGGGGTTCTCCGTCTTTTTTTTTTTTCTTTCTTTCTTTCTATGTAATTGTGTCTGTTTCTCGGAGACTCTGCTTAAGTCCCTGCCGTTTGCTTGCAAGAGTTTTCAAAAGTAGTTTTTTACTAGGGCTGAGAGAAAATGAGTGGCCCAAGTTCACCTGCTAGCTTTGTGCCTAAGGCAGGACTAGAACTCACAGCTTTCTGATTTCTCCATCTTTGCAATACTACTAATCCCTAAAATTATAAATGATTTTGTATAACATCCCCATGAATATGGCTAAACGCATGGGTTTATCTCTCAAAAGTTGCTCTAGGCTTTTCTCCCTGTGTTGCTTGTATAAGCCCACTGAAAGCTTGCCCAGGCAAAGTGATGTGAATTTTGACATTCCTCCCTTCCCTGCAGAAGCCTGAAAAGCTTTGGGGGAAAAATGGATTCTCTAAGTTGCTCATGAAACTTGATAATCATAACCCAGAATTTTAGAATATCTGGATTTAGGAGAAAGATAATTTGGGGGGAGATTACTATTTTGATGCATTTTTAGGGAGGGAATGTAATTTAAATATTAATTAGTAATTAGTTTCTTGTTTAGAATGAATTTTTATGACTTCTCCTTTTCTTTTAAATTTTCTGTTTGTGTCATGCTTTTGTTTTAATTTTGTGTTTTAACAGCTGAGCAACATATGGGGGGAGGAAAGCAACAAAGAGGACCTTTCCAAGGTGTTCGTGTAAAAAACTCTGTGAAAGAATTGTTGTTGCATCTTAGAAATAGCAAGCAGATGTCCACAGATTATGGAACTGAGGAATTAAAGGTCTGTGTTGTATATTTTCATAAGTGCTGTTCAGAATCAAAACAAATATTTTATTTGTGAATACAATATTTGCAGCAATTTTATATAGAAGATAATTAACATCTTCATTATAGTGAAATGTAATAGCTTGCATGGCCTTTAAAAAACAAGTATATATTTTTAAAAAATATCTTGTCAGTGGATGAGAATTACAAATGATACCTAAATGATACTGAGTCGTTCTTTTTTTTTTTAATGGGAAAATGCAAAGCATGCATTTGCTCAAGTCACACTATCTGAAGTTTATAGTGAGAAGATTTCTCACTAGTCTAATTCAATATTCTTTATTGGTAATTTTCAATGTTGGTAAATATCACCCATTCCTTATTCTGCCTAAAAGTGGGAGTGATCACTTTTAGAGTTTTAATATAGTTTAGACTAGGTGGCACTTGCAACACAATAATCTTACTCTAGATTCCAAATAGATTCTTCTTCCAGATCTTTCCATTCTTCCCAACAACTGTTTAGCATTCTATGGTATTGAATATTTTAAATTTTATTAGAATATTTTGGGGGGGTTTTTTTATTCAAAGTTTTCTTTTTTCTGCATATATTGCGCTCTTTTTCAAATAGGAGGACCAGCAATTTTGAACAATATATTAAAATGAGAGTTAAAAGGAAGTACCTTCTTAGCCATGTCTATAACAGAACATTTTCAGCCTCTTGGGATCTCTGTTATCCGAAGCATTTCCTTTATAATTCCACAAATGCACCATGTTGGGCATTGCTTCAAGTGTTAGAATTAATGAATTGTACAAAAATATTCATAAGTTGTAATGTTTTTTGGTTGAAATAAATACAGTAGAATGAGAAAAATGTTTGAAGATAGTAGAATATAATTATTGGAAAAACTAATTTTTTTTGCTTTTTCTGAAAAAAATATTAAAAGTTCATAAGATATACTTATATTTATGTAAATGTTATTCTCATGATAAAATAAGAATATTTTAATTATGTAAAAACTTTTTCATTTTTTTAACATAGGCACAAGGAACATTGATGAAATATGATCCATACACAGGTACAGTTTTTTGTCTCATTTGTTCCTTCAGTTTGTCTTTGAGTATTAGAAAAGTGGGCTGTGCCATAGACTTACAAATTCTGCTTATTTTTCAGTAGAACTGAAAAATATATTGACTCATAATCGGAAAAGAAAAGCTCCAGACTGTCTTTCTGATGGAGTGTATTACAAACGAACAGCTATTCTGCAACCTCAGTTCTTGGTAAGTATTTTTAAGGGAGCTTTTCATACTCATTCTCACATTGCTATACAGCATCCGTCTTCTAAGGCAAGATGCAATCAGATCAGTTTAAAATCTGTACCCCTTATCTTGCAGACCCCTCCGCAGACACCAACTTCCATGGATAATAATATGGAGGATCCCCATAATAATGAGCCTAAGCAAGATAGCAGCTGTGATATGCTGCAGAATATTATCAATATTAAGAATGAATCCAGCCCAGTGTCTTTGAACACTGTACAAGTTAGCTGGCTTCACAACATGGTCAATCCCAATTCTCCAGGGGAACACCAATATCAAGAGATGGCTGGAGCACCAGGTTTTTC